ATGATTTATTAATAAAATTGGCGATTTATTATGAAATTAGAAATCTCATGCGGTGGAATGTAATTTCTAGAACTACAGGGGGCAATTCTTATTTTAATCAAATCTCAAAGGGTGTATTTATAATTTATCTTTCTTTTTTTTTCTTTTCTTTTTTTTCTTTTTTTTTATCAGCAAGGAACTTTGAAGGATGGATTGTGTTTTAATCCCTTTTCTTTTTTTAGCTTCTTTGTTTATTTGATTTTATTTTTTTGGATTTTAATTTCGAGTAGGGGGATAAAGAATAATGTTAGGGAATCTTACCTCCCTGGAAAGCCATGGATAAAGGCTTGAGCTGCAATATTGTAATTTGTGTAGGGATTGTGTGACACTTTTTAATTTTAATTTTAATTTTTTTTTTTAAATTTTGGGTATGTCGAAAGTTAATTTGTCTAGAGATTTTATTTTTTATTTTTAAACATAATTTGTCTAGAGATTGTGTGAGACTTTTTTTGGTAAATTGGAGTTGGTATCATGGGGGTGTTTAGGAAGAAGCTTTTTTGGTTTTTTGGTATTAAAAAGTAAAATAGATTAAAATGGTTAATAAAATAAAATGTCACATTAAATTCATAATTATTTTATTTTTTCTCTCACAAACATTATATCTAATTATAAAAAAAATCTAACTCCCAAACACAACTATTTTGGCCTAATAAAATAATTACAAATTTAAAATAGTCTACTAAAATAACCAACTTTCCAAACGGGGCAGACAATACTCAGAGTTCTTATTTTCTTACAACCCATTTGACATAATAAAAGTTGTTCCAAACATTTAGATACATATTTCAAAAAAAGAAAAATAAATAAAAAGCTAAAAAATGCTCTAATAAACTCCATCAAATACTTTGGTAGTGAAGTGCATGATATAGGCCTCGTTTGGGAAGCAGGCTATTTTAATAAATTATTTTAGTTTTAGTTATTTTAGTAGGTTAAAATTTTTATAGTTAAGAAGATGATTGATTTTTTTATAATTGAATATAATATTTGTGAGAAAAAAAGTAAAATAATTATAGATTTGATGTGATATTTTATTTTATTAATTATTTTAATTTATTTTATCTTTTTATAAAATTTAACCAAAAAAATAGTCCAAAATCCACTTACCAAACGAGTCCAGATCCTCTGCAGTGGTTCCTGTTGTGTTTTGGCACCTCTTCCTTTTTTTTCTTTTTTTTTTTCTTTCCCCAGCTCCTCTCTTACACTCCATTCCCAACTTTGAGACCCAAATCAGAGAGATACCACAAGGATGATAGAGAAGCAGAAGGAAGGAAGAGAAAGGGAAATCACCGGCATCACCAACGAGACCCTTCACCTCCTTACCTCATTGGAAAACTCTCATGCTACCGTCGCCGCTGTCACAGCCGCCAAAGCCTCTGAAAAAAAAGGGGCTTCATCTTCTCGCATTTACATTTTCGTTTTGATTACAATGTTGTTACTAAGATTTCAATCTAGGGTTTCTTCGCACAAGGAAGAGAGATATGGGTTCAAATAATACAATCATCTTTGTTCACATACAATACGATCATCTCTGCCAATGCCCCTATCAAACAAGACTCTCATCATCATCCTCATCAATATCATCAAATGGGTTCAAACCAATATGCCAATGGACACGTCAAAAATAACACCCAAGAAGAGGCAAATTTTGAGTTTGGACATTCTTATTTGAAAAGTTAACTATAGAAATTCTACTGATTTTCTGTTTTTGATTTTGGGTTTACTTTCTTTTTCCCTTTTGGTTTTGATACTGGTGAAAATTGATGAATATAATTGGAATCTCAAATTTTTGAAACAAAGAAAATAATCTCATATTTTTGTTTGTCTTTCGTTTGGTTGGATTTTTTGAACCTATAAACTAAACACACAAACTTTGACATTTTGGACATCAATTTGAATCAAGAGATAAACCAACACATCAATTTTCTAAAGCAAGACAACTCCACCGATTTGCTTTCATTCGATAACCTGAAAAAAAAAATCAATTAAAACCTAGAAACAAAACCCAAAAACCCAGAAATTGAAAAACCCAATTTCTTCATTAGTTCATGTTTTCATTAAAAGAAATTGGTGTATTGCCAAGTGAAATTGATGGGTTGAGTTTAATTTGTGTTTAGAGAGTGGTTTGTTGGTAACACACAACTTTGCTTTCTGAATTCACAGAGCTTTGTCTATTTGTCAAGTTTGCTGACTTAGGCATCAGAGAGGTTTCCGGCACACACCCGCCGGCTAGCTCACGTTTGTGTTTTCAGGTGATAAGGCGACATCGTACGGAGGAGCACAGACTTGGTCAACAGGATTATACGAGGAAGTATATTTCTTTCCCGTACATCCATCCTCTCCTCGTCTTCTTTCATTAGTTTCCGAACTCGAACCCAGATTCGATTAAGAGAAAGAATAAAGAGTGTAGTGAAGAGGATGAACACAGTGATTGTCACAGAGCAAAGAAATCAGATTTTTGCCAATCAAAATCAGATTTGGTTGTTTTCTTGAGTCAAAACCGAACAGGACTTCTGATCAAAACCACTACTTTGGTTCTCTGATTCTCTAATTTGGGTTTGATTTCATTGTTTCATCTAGAAGAACCCAACAATGCCATCTATCTGGTAATAAATCACAGAATGTCGTGGGGTCGTCGTTGCTGCTCTCCGTCGCTGGTTTCCATCGACTACTTTCTCTCACTCTTTGTCGTCCTTGGTGGTCTCTCTCGGATTTGGGTCTCAGATTTGGGAATGAAGTGTTAGAGAGAGAAGCTTGAATTTTTTTATTTATTTTATTTAAAAAAAAAATGCTAAAACGACGTCGCTTTGATACCACAGTAGGAACCATAGCAGGAAACCACTACAGAAGATCTGGACTCATGCTAATTGATATGCTATATTTATTTGTAAATATATATTTTCCAAAGAGATGGCACCCACAAATTCCATTTTTTTTCTATTTTTTTTTCTATTTTTTTTTTGGGCTGAAGTTTTAATTTGTTTGAAACCTTTGGCTAGAGTTATAGCCTAAATTGTTGTTAGCTATGAATTATTATAATTTCCAAAGAGATAGCACCCACAAATTCCCACCTTTTTTATTTTTTATTTTTATTTTTAATTTAAATTTAGCTTTTAGTGAATACTTTTACGTAAGATGCATAAGTTGAGGAAAATAATTCTGTGTTATACATGATTTTTTTTTTTCCTTCTTGTCTTGCCTTTATATTTATGATAATATTATAAATTCAAACTTAATTATTCAAAAATTATCTAAAATTATCATTTTATGGTTCAAATTTATTTTAACATATGGATTCAATATTATAAAAATTTAATTGCCACCGCACGACCACCCATTTAAAAAATTCTGAATAAATAAACTAGACCAGTCTTTTCCTTATATATGTGCTAATAATAAACAAGCCCATCAACCATCATCATAAATAAACTCTTTTCTAAGTTCTAAAAGCCCTAAAACATGAGCATCTGTTCCAGGAAATTGATGGTTCACCACTTGGCATATATTGACAAACATCTTGGAATGCTACAGCAAATCAAGATTCTCCAAAATATTTTTTTTTACATTTTGCAAGATGAAAAATAAAAATTAATAGAAAAAGAAAATTCGTGGAATAAAATTCAAACATTTAACAATGAATTTTGTCTTAAAAAAATAACTTTTAAGGATTAAATTATTTATTAGCGATATTTTTAAAATTTTATCGTTAAAAGTACTTTTTTTGACTTTTTGAGATGATTTTTTAATAACACGATGACAAAAATTGATTTTCAAATATTTTTTATAATAAATGTTTTACTTTTGGACACATAAAATTTTGATCCTTAAAACTCTTATTTTTTTGATGATAACTGAAAATTTTACCTTTTTTACCTCAACTCCTCACTTTCAATTCTAACCATCAATCCATATCGCTTCCAAGTTCCAACTATTTTTTGTTTTTGTTTTTATTTTTTTTCTTCAATATTCATTTGTACTTCGTTACATTTTTTTTTCCCCTTGTTTTCTTGTTTCAATTATTTCACTTTTAATGTCTATCCAAAAATATGGATGATGGAAAACAATCAGAGGGACATCAAGTTGATTTCTTTTCCACTTATTTGAAAGACTTTTCTCTGAAACTAGATGTTTTCGCGATTGAATGTAGTTTAATATGTTATATCTAATTAAAATACGGGTTATTATTCAGTATTCTCGGAGTATGGACACGTGGTGCTCCATAAGATTTTGATTGGTGGAGAGACACAAGGGCCCACGATTTATGTTGGACATGAGGGGACAACATGGGGCTAATTAATTACTGATTGGTTTGGAGTGGTGCTCCGGGAGTATTGAATAATTTCCCTTAAAATACCAGGCAATATTTGTTTAATTCCTCAAGAATCAATTAAATGACTTATAGCTCAATGTATTCTTGCTCACAACATGAACCCTTATGAACCCTCAACCACATATGAAACAAAACATAGAATTATGGCCCTGTTTGTTTTGGGAGACAGAGGGAGGATTGGGATTAAGACGAAGATGGAGATGGAGATGTGACGCATTAATGTTGTGTTTGTTTTGAAAGATGGAGAAGAGATTCATAATTCCTTCCGAATTAGGATGAGCCTTGGGGAAGGGATTAGGATGGAGGCTTAATCCTCACTATCAATCCCCTCATTAGGACGGAGACTTAGTATTAGAAAATAATCCGCCGGACTATTTTTATTTTTATTTTTGATATGTTGGGCATTTTTTTTTTTTGAACATTAATGTTTAATTTTTTGTATTTTTTGTTAAGTAAAAATCATAGTTTTATTTGTATCATTTTTATTTTATTTTATTTTATTATTATTTTTTACATGTTGGGTATTTTTTTTTAACATTAATGTTTGATGTTTTTGTATTTTTTTTATTTGTTTTATTATTTTATATAAAAATAATTTAACAATCCCTACACCAATAACTATCATCAAAACAAACACAATTTTATTTAATTCCTCATTATCAATCCCCTCATTATTAATTTTTTTATTACTAATTCTCTTCATTCTGCCTCTAAAAACAAACGGGACCTATATATACGGAGGCAAGTGAAAAAAAGAAAAAAGAAAAAAAAAAGTGTACAACTATCAAATTTGGAGACATTCTCATAGGAAAATCTCTTCTAGATTATTAAAACCATCCCATGAAAGCATACTGTTGGGGTTATCAATCCATTGTTGAAGAAAGTCCTCATGAACTGGTTCACTCACACTCGCAGATGCATTAGAAGGTTGTGTTGCGGAGATCGCCATTGATGTCCCTTTTGAGCATAGACTATCGTGCAAGTCGAGCTCTAGGTTGTTGTTGGCTTGGTTCCAGAAGGAATTAGATTGCAGAATTACTTTGTCTTTTGTGGTAAACATTTGGTGTTGTTCAAAAGACGAAGGAACTCCGCAATCTAATTCCTTTGTGGTAAACATTTCAGGTTGTTCGATAGGCTTGTGGGTGGTGGGGTCTAAACCAAGAAGCTTTAGTCTTTTCTTGATCCGGGTATTCCAGTGGTTCTTGATTTCATTGTCTGTCCGGCCTGGAAAATGTGAAGCAATCTTGGACCACCTGTTGAATATCACAAATTTTAGGCAACAAATTGTCAATTCATTGTGAACTCAAAGGTAATCCTCTTATGGGTGATATTTATGGTTTGTTAGGTATATGAAAAATGATATACAAATTCACTTATAAACTTAGTTTTTAGACCTAATGCTGTATAAATGAGGTGATTAGAAAATATATGAAAGAAGGTTTTTTAAAAATATTTTAATACACTATCACATCATTTAGTTAAAAAAATGAGTCTAATTTTTTTTATTTGAATAGCACTACTCTATTTATATTTATAAAAATTTTGATAATGATAAACAAAATTTATTTCGTATGTAAAAATTTATTATTTTTGTAACTACAAAAAATTAGTTTCACTTGTTAATTTTTTTTTTTTTCATTCCCTTGTACTTTTTCCACCCTCTTGGGCCACTACCCAACTTTCATCACCACATTCAATCGCCATTGCCACTGACGTCTTCCAACAACAACATCCCATTGGTGGCAACTACCTTCGACCAACACCTTTTGCCTAAAACCACACCTTCAGCCACCACCTCCAGTAGCCGACCAACCACCTTTTCATCGGCAACAACCATTAGCCAACAATCACCTCTAACCACCATTTTCGATTGTCAACAATCACCTTTAGCCACCATCGACACTAATTTTCAAAATAAGTTTTTAAAACAAGTGAGTGGGCATGAAACATGTTTTTTTATTGTCATTTTTATCCAAAAAATCACAATCATGTTTAATATTTTTTGTAATTAGTTGCATCATGATAATACCTATTACCATAGTGGGAATGAAGTTGAATAATCATGTCTTCTTCTGCTGCTGTTAATGCCCCTCTCTTAAGATCCGGCCTCAGATAATTAATCCATCTTAGCCTACAACTCTTTCCACATCTGAACAAACCTTCCATCATCCAAAACAACAAGCATTGAAATTTTTTAGTAAAATAAAAAATAAAACAAAAACAGAAAACAGAAATCAGAAAATAAAATCAGTAACAAACAACTAGACAACTTGTAACAAGTACATAAAAACACACACAGAGAGAGATGAACACCTGCAAGTTTTGGAACAAGTCGCCAGCATTGTATGCCATTGTTCAAAATGAAGTTCATAAGCTTATGATCCTCCTCAATGCTCCATGGACCGCGCCTCAATCCAATCTTATCGCAGCAAGGCTGTCTTCCCATCAAAGCGAGAATTTGTGTTTTCGCGACTAGATAACACAAATTATAGCAAGTGAAGATTAGTGAAAGTTCTGCAAATTGAAATGGCACTTATAAATGAAAGCAAAGATTCTGCCAGATCATACACAGATGAAAGAAATATTATTTATAAACCAATCATGATTGATTAAGAAAGCATCAAACTCATCAAATACTAGAATAATAGTCTCAATATTCATCACCATTGTTAAACTATACATGAATTTTCTAGAGAAAAGTAGTAGTAGAGGAAAATACAGAGAAACAGGCGTGAATCCTTGACGTCGTTGACACGTACCAACTATTTTGATTTGGATATTTTGAAAATTTCAAAAAATAAAAATTGAAAGATTCCATGGTCCCCTTGTAGCTGGCAAGTTTCATTAATGGCGGACAACTCGATCTTCTGCTAATTGAGAGCATGAATATTATAACTGGTTATTATTTTAACCCAAATTGATTAACTTATTCCATATGCCAAATCTTTGGCTGATTACTCTGAATATTCTACACTCAATGATCTTTTTCAATTATTCCTCCAATTTTCCTTCTAAATTAATGTTTGTTAAGTTATCCTTTACCTCTAGCAGGAAATTAATAAAATTATCATATTGAGAGTACTGTGTTATCATATTGCAAGTTGCAACAGTACAATAATTGACACTGGGTGGTTTAGTGTCATATTGTTTGGTATAACTTTATTTACAACTTATTAGACAGAAAAAGTGTACTTTTTGATTTTTTTTTTTTTGGCTAAAAATGTAAAAAAAAAATATGTATGTTTGGATAATTTTTTGACTTTTTACAAAAAGATGTGTAATAAAATATTGTAATAAAATCAAAATGATCATTCTACCCTTATTGACTTTTTGACTTTTAACTTCTTAACTTTTGGGTAGTTGAATTCAAATAGGTTTCCCCCACAAGCTTCCTCCAAATAGTATGAACTTTTTAGCTTTTTTAGTAATTTTTTAGCTTTTTAACTTTTGTAGGTTATGCCAAACAAGACCTTAAATACACTAAGAAAATTATTTAGAAGTTGGGAAAGAGGTGCTTTTTGTTTTTACTTTGATTATTAACCTTTAACTTATAACAAGTTATACCAAACTGACCCATAATTGTAATTTGAAATGAAATAACTAGGCTAATTAATTATTCAAACTGAGAGATCAAAGGGTCAATATTTGCCAAAATACAAAGATTGAATATTTCTTCTTCATTAGAGGCTGTTTTTGTTGGAAAGTAAACTTGATTTTACATAATTATGAGTCTTAGGGTCCGTTTGTTTTCAGAGTTAGATTCGGTAGGACTGTCAGTGTGAGGATTGTTAATGAGAATATTATTAGTGTGAGAATTGTTAGCAAATAAATTAAGAAAAATTATTTTTGTTTTTGATATGTTTTAGTGAGGGGTTAACTATATAAAATACCATAAATATTTTTTGGTATCTTTGATATATTTTAATATTAAAAATTATATTTTATAAATATTTTTTTATACTATATTATTTTAATATATATATATATATAATGACATAATACCAAAAAAAATAAATAAATAAGACACACATGTAACGCCTCTAAAATATTAGCCGAAGAAGAATTCTAATTTTCCAATCATCAAGATCATATTCCGACAGGCAAAATATTCTTTTTCCAAGCTAATCCCCTCACAAATTTTAAAATTCATACTTTGGAGGCCCTTGTTAATCTCTTCCTCCAAGATCTATCAAACTCCCTTAGGCCTCATTTGTTTTAAGAGATGGAGGGGGGAATTGGGATTGAGATAGAAGTGAGACTCATTAATGTTGTGTTTGTTTGGGAAGATAGGGAAGGGATTGAGATGGAGGTCCAGATTAGGTTAGGCTTTGGTAGAGGGATTGGGATGGAGGAGGTGGAGATGGAGGTGGAGGTGATATTAGAAAAATAGTCTATCGGATTATTTTTTTTTTTTTTACATGTTGGTATTTTTTTTAACATTAATGTTTAACTTTTTGTATTGTTTGTTAAGTAAAAATTATTGTTTTATTTGTTTTATTTTTTTCTAGAAATTTTTTATTTATTTTTTATTTTTTACATGTTGGGCATTTTTTTTTTTTGAACATTAATGCTTAATGTTTTTGTATTTTTTTATTTGTTTTATTATTTTATATAAAAATAATTTAATAATTCCTACACCAACAACTATCATCAAAATAAACATAATTCTATTTAATCCCCTCACTATCAATCCCCTCACTATAAATTTCATTCAGTCTACCTCTAAAAACAAACGGGATCTTAAGACTATGGATCCCCATTCTAATTTTACAAATAAACATCATTTTAGTAAGTTTGACATCTATTTAGAGATTTGTATAGACACATACATACATGAATTAGTTCAAGCACGTAACTCAAGAGTTATATGTCAAGTATTCAATGTGTGTAGTCTCGGAAGCCAAGTTTACATGAATGCATGACTAAAGTTCATGTTCTTAGGAACCTAAAAATACACATGTACTATGGGGATACATATCTACGTATGCATTTTGGGGATGAAGTAGAGAAGTGAAAAAAAAGTCAAGGGGAAGTGAGATGAAGTGTTATGTAGTAAAGTATGATTAGTATAATGACAATTTCAAAGTATCATTTTTCTATTCACTTCTCTTTTTCATTGTGATTTGAGGTGTATTAAGTTCGCCCTTAATTTAATTTTTTAATAGATGACATAAATTGAATGTTTTATAAAAATAAACAATTTAAATTATTGAAATAAATGCGTGATGGATCATAAATTGAGAGAAATTCACTCTAATTTTAATTAGCAAAATGAAATTAGTATAAAATTTTGAAAAATGCTATAGATTCTAAATTTTTTACCAAATTTTGTATTCCTAAAATTATCCTAAAATTTTTTAACAGAATTTAAGACTAATTCTTGATGTTTTGAAGTTCAACAAGGACAAATCGTTCAAAAACAAAAAAAGTTCAACGAGGACAAGACCCTTAAGGTTCCCAATACAGACGATTATCTTGAAAGCTTAAAATTATGAACCAGTCACTGGTTTCAGAGTTGGACAGGTCCATGGAGTGTGACTTTGTATGAATTCTAGCATTTATTTAAAAGAAGAAAAAGAGAGAGAAATTAAGATTTACGGGAAAAAGATTGCTGTTAAGAAATTCATTTATACTGTGTTTGGTTGGGGGATTTAGAAAAGAGAATAGAAAGGGTAAGTGAAATGTGAATAAAATATACTTACATTTTACATAGTTTTACACACCTTTTCTTGTTTCCTTTCCAAATCTCTCCTCAAATTTCCTAACCAAACACAGCGTTAGAATAATGATATATGTATCAATTGGTATACTAATTAGTGTATTAACAGATGATTTGACATAATTTTAGAAGTTTTCGATATTTGTAATTTATATAATGAGTGGAATCATAATTTTAAAGTAATAATGTCACAATATATGTTATTACACTAATTAATATACATACCAATTGATACATATAGTACCGCCGATTCATTAAATAAGTACACGGGAGCGGGGTCACTGCTGTGCCCCCTCCCTGCTGTGTTTTGCAGTTTCATCCCCTTCTTTCTTTTGTTTTTTTTTTTCTTTCACACAGTTTCATCTTCTTCTTTTTTTTTTTAATTTTTAATTTTTTATTTTAGAGTTTAGAGTTTAGGATTTAGGATTTAATTTTTAAAATTTATTTTTTTATTTTAGAGTTTAGGGATTAATTTTTTTTATTTTTTTTTATTTTAGAGTTTAGGGTTTAGGTTTAATTCTTGATTTTTTTTTTATTTCACGGTTTAGGGTTTAGGGTTTAATTCTTAAATTTTGTTTTTTATTTTATTTTAGGGTTTAGGGTTTAATTCTTAATTTTTTTATTTTTTTTATTTTAACTGTTGGGCCCCCTCCCTACTGTGTTTTCTTTTTTTGTCATGCTCTCGCACAGTTTGATCTTCTTCTCTCTTTTTTTTCTTTTTTTTTTAAATTTTATTTTAGAGTTTAGCGTTTAGGATTTAGGGTTTAATTTCACTTTCTTTTTTTTTTTTTCATGTTCTTACTATGAATTAAATCTAAACCCCAAACCCTAAAATAAAATAAAAAATTAAACCCTAAATCCTAAAATAAAAATAAATAAATTTTAAGAATTAAACCCTAAACCTTAAATCCTAAAATAAAATAAAAAACAAAATTTAAGAATTAAACCCTATACCCTAAATCATAAAATAAAAAAAAAAATTTAAGAATTAAACCTAAACCCGAAACCCTAAAATAAAAAAATTAAATTTTAAAAATTAAATCCTAAATCCTAAATCTTAAATCCTAAAACAAAAAAAAAAAATTAAGAATTAAATGCTAAACCTTAAACCCTAAAATAAAAAAATTATAAAAAATTTTTAAGAATTAAACCCTAAACCCTAAAATAAAAAAATAAAAAAAAATTATCCCTAAACTCTAAAATTAAAAAAATAAATTTTAAAAATTAAACCTTAAATCCTAAACTCTAAATTCTAAAATAAAAAAATAAAAATTAAAAAAAAAGAAGAAGATGAAACTGTGTGAAAAAAAAAAAAGAAAAAAAGAAAGAAAGAAGGGGATGAAACTGTGCCGTTTCGCGGCACAGCAAAACACAGCAGGGAGGGGGCACAGCAGTGACCCCGCTCCCGGTAGTACACTAATTGGTGCATGTAGTATCGCTCTTTCCTTTTGACTAATGCTATATGCACTAATTAATGCACTAATTTAATATGTTTTTGGTATTTGTAATTTGTATAATGAGTAGAGTCAATAATAATGTCATAACTAGTATTGGTACACTAATTAGTACACTAATTAGTGCATGTAGCGTCGTTCTTTTCTTTTACATAGAAACCAAAGTACTCTCTTTGTATTTTTCTCAATTTCATCCATTAATTTCCCTTTCTATTATTTGATTTTATTATAATTATATTATATATATTTTTAAAATCTGTAACACATACCGTGATTATATAATTCTAGATAAAATATTTTTATTTATTTGGTTTATTATTTTTTGAAATCAATTAAAATGCATTTTTATTTTTATTTTTTGTTGTAGTATTATAACATCAATGGATTTGTTTCATCAATCCATTTTACGGAATTGTTTCAACTTAAATGAGTTTTCAAATAAAGAAAAAAAAATTTATTTATAATGAAATATTAATGTTTTTTTTTTGAAATTTTATTCAAGAGAGTACTATCCTTTTATTTTTTTTACACATAAGTGAATTTCGGTATTTCAAAAGTGTGAGGACATTTTTGTCCATGTAGAAAAATATCTAGTTTTTGAAAATCACTATATATTTATTTCTATTTAAAGTTTACAATCTCTCATTTAAGTGGAGGTAATTAAACTCATTAATTATATTCTTAACATATGCTTTAAGGACACATTAATAAGACCCTTTATATATTTAGATTTGAAGGTTTCATTTGGTGATGACTTTAAAATCAATTTATTGGTTAACAAAATTTACGATAAAAGACAATTTTAGTCCTTAAAGTATGTATTATTTTTCATTTTAGTCCCTCAAGTTTTAATTTTGTCATTTTAGTTGTTAAAGTTGTCAATTTGGTCTTAGGTCTAACATTTGTCTATATTGATAATAGAAATATGGATAAAAGACAGTTTTTGTCCCTAAAGTATGCGTTTCTTGTTATTTTAATCCCTCCAGTTTTAAATGTTGTCATTTTAGTCCTCAAAATTGTCAATTTGATCCTAGTTCAAATTGATAATTTTGAAGATCAAAATGACAAAATTTAAAACTTAACGGACTAAATGACAAAAAAATGCATACTTTAGGACTAAAACTATCTTTTACCCAAAGATAAAATACTTTTTCTATTATCATTGTAAACAGACGTTAGAAATAAGACTAAATTGACAACTTTAAGGACCAAAATGATAAAATTAAAACTTAAAGGACTAAAATGGCAAGAGCGCATATTTTAAGGATTAAAATTGTCTTTTATTCCAAAATTTATTTTGCTAGAAAATTATTTGTTCTCACAAAAACAAATCTATTTAATTCACTCTAAGAAATAAGACAAAGAGGTTTTCCCCATAATTTTGTCTTCTTTTTTTTCTTTGAAAATATTTACAATCATTAGGTCATGTAAGAATCTGAAGATATTATCTAATTATTATGTCAAAAAAATTTGAGACAAAAAAATCTCTTCAAAACATGAGAATAAAATGAATACACTTCCCAAAAAAAATTAGTTTTTTGGGGCCTGATTAACTATAAAAAAAAATTAATAAATTTATTCAAATTTTTTTCCCAATAAATCTTAGATCAAAACAAAATATAAGTTCAAACAGGATTGAAAAGAATGCTTTGGATTACATCATGGTGTCTTCTTTGATGAGTTACTAAGGGTCAAAGTCTGTGTATTTTAAAACACCATTTTAAAGATTTTTAAAGTAAATTAAACATGATTTTTTAAAACTGTAATCTAAAAATATAATCTCAATTCTAAAGTGGTATTTTTAAAATACAATTTTGAAAACAATATGTGAATTTAAAAAATAATTTGAAAACAACTTGTAAAACCACTTTGTAAATAAATAACTCCTTGTGACACCACCAGGTCAAAATATTGAATACCCCAATTGACCCAGTACGCTTTGTTTCAACACCTAACCCAGCCCTAAGCCCACTAATTCTTTATTAATTACCATCTAAAAAAGTACTTTTGGACACGGTTACGTGGTATTCCACGATATTATGATTGATGAAAAATGTAAGACTTATGATTTTGTATTAGGTGATTGAGGAATATGAGCGGCCATGGTAAATGATGATTAGTGCAGGAATATAGACACGTGATACTCCGAAAATACCTAATAATTTTTTCTAAAGAGAGCTCCTACATAATGTGGCATTTTATGATTGATTAAGAAAATAAATAGGTATTTGTAATTCTATTTATTTTAGATAACTTGTTTATTTTTTTTTGTAATTAAATCTGTATCTAAAAATATAAATTTTAAATTTGGTAATTTTTGGATCATCTATCACTTTAAATTTTCTTTTTCTTTTTTTTCACAATCAAATTGTTCCGCAATTTTATTACACAATTAATAGTTGTTAAAATCTGCCTACCAACAGTGTGTGTCATAGACCATGGGCCTATGGGGCCATGGGGTCCATGGGGCCTATCACAGGTCCTGTTTCGACAATCTGAATTATTTAATGTGTAGAGCTTGTTGAATATTTTATGCTTGTCAAAAATCACGCTGATCGAATATTAATAGCTACTTGATCGGATTAATTTTTGTCAACAATTTATTTTAAAAATCATATTTACCGTTGATAGAAATATGATTTGATCAAGTGGCTTCCAAATTTATAGTGTTTTTAACAAAACCAAAAATAAATTCATTTCTTTTACATTTCACACAAAAGTAAAATTCCAATGCATCAAATGTTACACATACAAACATTTATATAGCATATATATATCCATTTTAGGTGGAATTGATTGTCCAACAATATATATATATCCATTGCTTCTCTGTAGAGAGAGAGAGAGAGAGAGAGAGAGAGATTCCTCAGTGGGCCTGCAGTTCTCCTAATCTGGGCTAATAAGTTGGGCTAAAAAAAGTGATGTTCAACCCAGAGTGGCCCATTTAGTGCTAGGCCCATAGTTTCAAAATTATGAATTATTTGATCATTTGATCTGAAAAATTATCTAATAATTTCACTAAAGTAATGGAATCCTGAAATATATTTTAAAAAATTCATGAATCATCACTTTCTTTTTCTTTTTCGGTGCATTGATGCAACACTTTTTTTCTTTATTATTATTATTACTTTTTTTTTCAGAATAAAGCTTGGTAGCTCGAAAGTTGGAAGGCTCGATTGGCCCGAATTACAAAACGACGTCATTTTGTATTTTTTTTTTTTGGTTTTATATCTGAAACAGGGGAGGGAGGGAGAGTGTGAGAGAAAGCGAGAGAAGAGAGCGGGAGGGCGAACACTTGGTAGCTCGAAAGTTGGAAGGCTCGATTGGCCCGAATTACAAAACGACGTCATTTTGTATTTTTTTTTTTTGGTTTTATATCTGAAACAGGAGAGGGAGAGAGAGTGTGAGAGAAAGCGAGAGAAGAGAGAGCGGGAGGGCGAACAGAGAGAGTGAGAGAGAGAGGTCGACGATGGCGACAGAGAGAGAGAGCTGGCGACGGTCGGCGATGGTCGACGATGGCGACAGAGAGAGAGAGAGCTGGCGACGGCTGGCGACGATCGACGATGGCAACGATGTAGATCTGTAGATCTGTGTTTGGTTTGTTTTTTTTTATTTTTTTTTTTATTTTGAAACAAAAAACAACCATTTTTTTTATGGGATTAGATCTACAGAATAGTTGGTTTGTTATTGTTGATGATCTGTGTGTTGATTTCGACGATGGCTTGAAATGGTTGTTTTGAACAGAATAGTTGGTTTGTTATTGTTGATGATCTGTGTGTTGATCTACCTGGAGAGAAACCTGGCCCAAAAAACAAAATAAAAACAAAAAAAATGTCATTTTTTATTATCATTATTTTTTAATAAAAAAATTTAGATTTCTTGACAAATATTCTGAAGTGCATTTAGATTATTTGCATATAAAAAGTTTTAAAATTTTGACTCAAATATAAAAAAAAGTTACTAAAGACAAAAAAATTAAAAAAAAAATCTCAAAAATATTTTTCAAAAATGAAACCAAACCTAATTTTTGTTGTGGAACAATTTGATCGTTCAAAAAAATAAAAAAATTGTTTATATTGAATTTTATATTTTTACTTAGTAAAGATTTAATTACAAAAAAGTTAAATAAGTTACCTAAACTAACTAGGATTCCAAATATAAGTTTCCTTGAATTGTATAATCTCTTAACCAATCATAAGATGTCACATTACTTGAATTGTAGGAACTCCTACCTAGTAGATTGGAAGATTTCCAAAAAATAATCAGTTTTATTAGCTTTGTCAAATTAACATTCTACCAACAATGACGACTGTAACTGTTGAAAGAGTTCTTTCAGCAATGAAATTCATTTTATAGAAAAATTAATTTTGCTATTGAATGGGAGATCAATAGAAGACTAATTGTTTAGATATGTATATTGAAATGATGTATTTGATAGTAAACAAAGCCACCCCAAATCCTGTTTCATCATGCCCATTTTCACATTTGATTTATTAAAAAAATGACAAAAATTGCAATTCAATTAAAACTATCATTTATCATTGTTATTAGATGATCATTTTACAAGAAAACTAAAGAATAACCATTTTATTTCATTTGATTCCATGAACCAAAACAACAAACTAGGCATTTATGTGCATAGTCTTGGCCACCATAGTAGAGTATATATTCACAATCCATATAATGCTATAAATTTCAGTATCAGTATCAAATAACTTTCAACTTCAACAGTGTAGACTCATCAATTTGTAAAGAATAACAAAGTAAGAGAAAGGTATACATTCTATTCAATTTGTTCCTATACATAATATTATACATCTCTGTCATGACAAAAAAGAACATGAATGAATGAATGAATAAAATGTGCCCACAAGAAGAGCAAAACTGAAAAAAGTACTCAAAAAAAAACAGCTCAGTGAATCGGGTAATGCGATGCTTACCCTCGTCATCAAAAAGAATGTTTCTAAACTGCAATTTTCAATCTCCTCAGTAAGAAAATTCATGGCCTCTGAGCGATATATACTTCTTGACCCATATCGAAATATCTTCTGCACAAGCCTGGGCTTGCAGTGTCTTGAGTAGAACATCAAGTGTAGCAAATTCATGCACAGCGTCCTTGTAATCAAGAAGAGGCGCATCCACGTTGACTTTTCGAAGCTCCTCTGAGTAAGCAATAGCCCTGTCCCTCATCCAATCATGTTCAGCCACGACTGTTAAGGTCGGAGGCATGTACTTGAGGGGTATTTCTCTGCCCGAGGCAAGGGGGTTGGCAGCAGGGTGATCTAGGTCAAATTCTTCCTCAGGTAGGAAGAGTTTCCATGCAAGCATGCTCATAGTTTTATCGTAAAAGTAGGAGTTCGCTAATCTGATCTCAGAGTGTGTGGGAATGCTCCCAATGAAGAAAGGGTACATTAGTACCTGCGCCACTACCCTTACAGGATCTAAATTCTTGCCTGCCTCCACAGCTTTCTGTGCAACATGGTTTGCAATATTAGCACCACAGCTCACTCCCAGGAGGACACACCTATATAATGGCAAGACTGAATTAGTAGTAGCTCAGTATGTAAGCTTAACATTGAAACAAAGAATAAACTAAAAATGGAGCATTTATGATAAGATTTCAAGTTAAAAAGATGGGGTGATAAGTTAGGACTATTTGTACAAACATGGTTGCATTGACAAAACCAGTGTTTACAAAATAAACCAAATTGACATATATTGATTCAAAAGAAGTCATACAATACATATCTACATGCTTCTAATTGCTATTGTATCAAGTATTAACATGCAAGTATCATTCTTTCAGCTTATTTAAGTAAACTTGAATAAGTTCAAATTTTAACAAGTATCATTCTTTGGTCCTGTTTGGTAGACCTTTTTTAAGTTAAAAACTAATAATCAGAAAGCAGAATCTAAAAGCACTCCTACCCCAGCTTTCAAATAATCAGCTTTTTTCAACTTATTTAAGTTATTTCTGCCTAATGAGCTATAAGCAAAAGCTGCACCAAACAGTCTGGAGAGACTCCCAAATCAAAATAAGCTATAATCATCCCCAAAAGCTTTAACAAACAGTCCCTTTGAGAAAAAAGCATTCTCCAACAAGTGTTTCCTGTGGGAAATACATAAAAGAAACAAGATGTTTTCCTGTGAAAAAAAAACACTTCTGAAGCATTAGGGAACCAGTTCACAAATGTTCTAAAACTCCAGGGAAATTTAATTTGTATTTCAGTTCTTGACATATACACTGAACACTATCTTCACATGTGAAAATTTGTATCTAATCCTAAAGCTATGAAGGAAAATATCGGCAATTTGGAACTGATCATTTTCAATTAAATGGCACTAAGCTCTGTTTTCAATTGAATAGCATCTTCTTGGGATAAAGGCAAACTCCTTCACTAGTCCAATCTTCTTACTACTACGAAAGCTTTTAGTGATGTTTTTTTTTTCCTTGGGATAAAGGCAAACTCCTTCACTATTAATGCTACTTTTATATGATAGTAAAGTCAAATAAAAAGTGTGCACAAGCTCTGTATACAGAAATATAAAAAGAAGTTGACAAAGGTTAAGCCAAAACTATTACAGCCTACAGTGGCCAGTAAAGTAGGGCGATAGCAAAGTCAAAGTGAATCATTTTGCAAGACTTCAATAGTTCGTGGACAGCAGTAGAGTAGTGAATGTCCTGTGAATTCGGAATGGATTTATAGATTGCAGGAATGAGGTAACCAAGAGCTCAAAAGAAAGCTCCTAAGCTTTGTTCATGCCAAAGTTGGCAAATGGAATGATATTAACTCCAATATTGGAATCAATTTTGTCAAATGTATCGTGTGGGAATTAGAGTTTTACTTCTAGATCAGGACATGAGCCCAAAATTGAATTATGGGTGATATGACAAAAGTGCAACGGTACCTATGGGGTTGGCGAAAAAAAAGTTGTATGAAAATGGTTAAGAATGGTGATATGGTGGAAATGATGGAAATAACATTGTAGTCAGTGAAGCTAGACTGACGATGATGGCCACAAATGGTTTTCATGCAAGTGGGTGATCAAGTAGATGAATAGGGGATGAAACAGAGGTCAAGATGGCATGTAATGTGGTGGCAAAAGTGGCATCCACACAACATATGGTGGCTGTGGGTGGGCTGCAAAATTACTATAATTGAGCCTTAACCAACAAATGTCCATTGGAAAAAAGTTGACCATTCCAAGAAATTTGATTGCTCCCATCAAAAAAGGATTCTAGGATCTAATTTATGAGCTAAATTTGCACCCAGAAGCTTGCATTCTATCTCCTACAGCTCAAAGCTGAAATGCCCAATAGCCTTAAATTGATGAGGAGCTTCTTGTTGATGTATACCTTTGACAAGACATTGCACCTAGGACAGACAATCAGCAGTCTGCTAAAATTTGTTAAATTAACATCCTAAAACTGCATAACACTACAACCTCATGAAATAACTAGTATAAAGAAAACAAGATAATTTGCCTTCATGCAACCAACAATGTCAAGTACTGACAAAATCCACATGATAGCTTCATATTTTCATAAGAGGTGAATGACAGTTGCTGATCCTTATGCAACAATCTGTATAACTGTGCAAGTTAAAGCCAATGTGAATACCATAACTGATGCTTCCATTGTAGAAAAACTTGATTACAAAAGTTATGTCAGTTACCATTTCTTCAGACTCTCTCTCTCTCTCGCATGAACATGCCCCCATCTTTATTAATTTGTTTACCTGTATGTATTTTTAGAAGTAATATTTTTCCATCAAACCACTATAAGATTGATTATGCATCTATTAATATTTTCAGGATTATATACATGAGGCAAAATAAGAAACCACTGTACTATTGATATGACCAATGGACAATATTATCAAATTATTTCACACGTAGAATGTAAATGAGCATTGAATTCCACTGATAAGATTCAAATGAAAAGCAAACCCCAAGCTGGACATCATTAAACGGTTGTCTATCTTGTTAGGTCTTGCTTTATAATAGAGATGTTGGTTCATAGCTTTCATGCCAATAGAGTTATACGGGCTTTGGTTGTAGTTTCTTTGTTCTTGTCAGTCCCCATTCAATGTTGTATTTAGGTTCTGCTAATTCAAGACACGGTTTTTCATGGATTTCCATGGAATTGGAATTACATTGTTGTTATGTAGAATGAAAATATGCATCTCAAGAAAGTCCATAGTTCAGACTGGTGAGACTTAACTTACATATCACCATCAATTCCAATTTAAAGCACAACCCAAAATTAATCAATGGTATAAAAATTGAAATTATAAACAAAAGAGTAAGAACACAAAAAGTATGTTACCTAGAAGGATCACCATGAGCAGCCAACCAAGGCTCAACCATTGATTCACCAAACCCATCAACAATTTGCTGCCTATGAATATTAAATCTCCTAACACCTCCAACAACAATACAATCAGCCAAGTTAGCTTGCTTCCCCAACCAATGCAACACTTTAACCCCATCCTCAAAAGCCGCCGGGTACCGATTCTCTGGCGCAAGCCTATACCCAACCGCAATCACAATGGCATCCAACAGCTTCGCGATTCTTCGGCAGAACAAATCATTCGCCACGGCGTCATTGCTCCCACTCACAAACCCTCCGCCGTGAAACTGCAAAATCACGGGCAATTTGCGGCAATTCCGGCTGCTGTGTCTATCAATCGGCGGGGAATAACCCCTGTAAAGCCCATCATCGGAAAACGTTTGGATTTTTGAAGGATTTGGGGAAACCCTACCCCTAGAATTGGGGGGAGAGGAGGAGGAGAGGGCGGTGTTGGGGAGGAAGATGCGGAGGGAGAGAGAGGTGAGGGGGTCGATGTGGATGTCTTTGGTGGCTACGCTGTCGACGGCGGAGAAGGTGGGGTTGGCGGCGGCGACGGGGTCGTCAGGGCGGTGGGTGACGCCGAAGGGATTGGCGGCGGAGTTGGGATTCAGAGAGGAATCGAGTAGGTTTTCTAAGCGGCGTTTGAGAAGGAACTTGAAGAGGACGCTGTAAAGCTTCACCGAAACGCCTGGCATTGTTGAGAGAGTCAGAGAGAGAATTGGAATTAGGGTTTGATTGTTATAAAGACGCCATTCACAATGAGAGAGAGAGAGAGAGAGAGAGAGAGAGAGAGACCAATTCAATTCAATACAGAACAGTCTTCTAGAGAGAGAGGGAGAGAGAGAAGAGGGAAGCTTCGATTTTCTGTTGAATTTGTATCTGAAATTTTTGCGTAAGCGGTAAGCTGGTCTCTCTGCTTTCCGACTATCTATCTATTTAGGCTTCGTTTCGGAAGTTCAATTCGTTTATTGTTTTTTTAACTACAAGGGTTCGGAAGTTTCAATTCGTTTTTGATGTTTTTACCTACTAGTGTTGCACCCGTCTTACACACGGATTATAATTTTATATATATATATATATATATATATATATATATGTATGTATGAATTGTGATTTTTAATTTTTTTTACATATGAAAAAAAAAATATAATAAATGTAATATATCTTTAATAAATTATTTTATATTTTTTTTATTTAAAATTTAAAAATAATGTATAGACAAAATTTATAATTAAATTAAGAAAAAAAATTTATTCCTAATGATTTTTTATTATTTTTATATAAATACTTTAAAAAATAAATTTAAAAAAGTTAGTCAATATAAATATTATACATTAAGTAAAAAAATGTGGTTATTTTAAAAGTATTTTATTTACCTAGTACCAAATAGAATTTTCCTAGCAAAAAAGAAAAGTTATAAAATTTTGTTGTAAATTTTCAAATGTCTATTGTTAAACATTCTATTCTACTTACTTGTTTGTTTGCTTGCTTACTTTGAGAGTTTTAATCTTCGATCTTTACTCCACATTTATCGTATTTTTTTATTTATTTTTCTTCTTCTTAATTGAATTTCATATGATACTTCTTTCATAGTGTATCTCTCCGAGTGTAATAATGAAAACGCCATACACTTAAAATGCACAAAATTATAATATATAGAAGGGGAAAAAAAAAATAATTGCCCAAAACTAAAACTATTTTAAGAAAAAATAAAAACATAAAAACAAAAATGAAATTGTTTGAAATAGGAAATAATTTAGGGAGATTTTTTTTTAAAGTCCCTGGTATTAAGATTTTATACTGTAAAGGACACCTAATATTTTCATAATGTCTAAGGTCTCTCAATATCGATCCAGAAAAAATTCGACCCAGAAAATTTCTCTAGCCTTCTCAGAGATTTTCTCTCTAAAGAAATTCTCTCTAGAGGAATTTCTCTGGACCTCCCAGAGATTTTATCTACAGAGAAATTCTCTTCAATTTCTTTGTACTTCCCAGAGAATTTCTCTGGACCTACCATAGATTTTCTCTCCAAAGAAATTCTCTCCAGAGAAATTTCTGGACTTCCTAGAGAATTTCTTTGTGTTTTTAACCAAATTTCTCTGGTTTGCTCATAATTTTCTTTGTGTTTTTGACCAAACCAGACTGTAAGCCATTTAGACAACAACAAACCAGAGAAAATTGAACAACTACTATTTTGACCAATTTTCTCTGAGTACCAAAGAAATTTAGAGAAAATAGTGTAGAGAAAATTTGTATGGCATTGTGTGGCTCTATCTAGAGAAAATTGCATAGAGAAAATTTGTATGGCTTTGTGTGACTCTATCCAGAGAAAATTGTGTTAGAGACAATTTGTGTGGTTTTGTGTAGCTCTATCCAGAGAAAATTGTGTAGAAAAAATTTGTGCGGCTTTGTGTGACTTTATCCAGAAAAAAATGTGTTAGAGAAAATTTGTGTGGCTTTATCCAGAGAAAATTGTGTAGCTTTGTATGGCTCTATCCAGAGAAAATTGTGTTAAAGAAAAATTTGTATGGCTCTATCCAGAGAAAATTGTGTAGAGAAGATTTGTGTGACTTTGTGTGGCTCTAACTAGAGAAAATTGTATATAGAAAATTTGTGTGGTTTGTATGACTCCATCTAGAGAAAATTGTGTTAGAGAATACTAAATAAGGAAACACATTTGATGTCTTTCAATATTCAAGTAATGAAAATCGAACAAGATTGGCGAGCACCAGAATAACCTATCAAGCTTATCAATTGGAAAAAAACAAAAGAATGTGAGCTTGACAGAAAAGAACACGTGTTCACATTTCTACTTTTCTATCATTTAGCAATAGATAGGGAGTTACACTCTGTAGTTTCAAAAGCATCCTTTCAAGATCAGAATAACACTTGCATTGGGAAACCTCCATTGCAAATTCCTTCCAAACCATCACGCTACGAGCAATCTCTACCAGAGCCTAAATATGTTTGGAGGATCTCGATTAAAAACGGATTCAAGATTAGGAATAGGAAAGATAAATAAAAAAGAATCACCAATCAAACGCCTTGATATGTAACTGGTCAATAATATTTGGCATTGGGAAACGGAGATCTGAGCCGATCTACGTCGGCGGCAACTCCGATGGTGATGAAATCGACTCCGACGATGATGGAATTTGCAGTGGTGGCGGTGGTAATGGCCATTGAAAGAAGTGAAGTGAGGTTTGGATTTAGAGAGAGAGAGAGAGAGAGAGATGAAATAGAGAAGGTAAAGAGAGAGAGAAATGAGGTTTGATATGAGAGAGTCAAATTTCTCTATAATATATGGACGTAGGGTTGAGGGACCTTAGACATCATAAAATAATATTGTGCATCTCTTCTATTATTAAAAATGGGGGAGGTACCTTAGACTAATTTTCCCAATAATTTATTTATTTATTAATTTAAAAATAAACTTTTAAAGAAAACAAAGTAAATTATATAAATAAATAAAAAGTACAGAAACCAAATATAAAATATAATACAAAAAATAAATGAATTATAGAATTTTTAAGAAGTAAGACTCATAAATAAATTTTGTAAAAACTTGTCTATTCATATACTTTTTGGATATATTTTTTGTACTTTTCATCCCGAGAATGGCATTGAAATAGTTTGCACTTTTTGCATTAGGTCCATCTAATAGTTTTAGTAAACACAGATATAATAAATTTTATTACACAAAACACAACAATTGTGAGACAAAATATCTAAAAAAAATGAAAGCAATATTCAATAATGATGTAGAGGCACATCTGACGTTTTAATTGAAAGTCTAACCAGATAAATTGACATAGAAGAAGAATACAACTTTTATTTTTCATCACAACAATTGCATGACTCAATATATAATTTTAATGTCTCTCACTCTTCTACACATCCAATTCTTTATCAATATTAAAATGAATGCATAAACCAAAAAAATAGAATATTTAAGAAGACAAAGAGATGTCGTTTGAGACTTTTCAATTACTGAATTCTATTAATTAATAGATATTAGACTTCAATGGTTGGGCTTCTAATATTTGTTAGCTATTAAGGTTGAGTTCTTTGATTTCATCTATATTCACTTGATAATTAGAGAGTGGATACATGTCAAGCCTTAACACAAATATTTCGCACATTTTTTGAGCAATATTACTGAAATACACAATCTAAAAAAAATTTCTCTCTCTCTCGCTTTTTTTTTTGGCAATTGCAACATATTATTTTTAATAAGAATTTATATTTGTTTTAGATATTTTTTTAATATACAAATTACTTTTTGCAGTGTAATTTTTTTTTTTTTTGCAATTACAATCAGTTATTTTTTAATAAGAGTTTATATTGTTTTAGATTTTTTTAATACAGAAATTATTTTTTTTTTAGATTTTAATGAAATGCACAGTAATTTTTTCTCTTTTTTTTTTCACAATTGCAACATTTTTTTTTAAGAATTTATATTTGTTTTAGATATTTTTTTAATACAGAAATTATTTTTTTTAGATTTTAATGAAATGCATAGTGTATTTTTTTTTCGCAATTGTAACTTGTTATTTTTTTAATAAGAATTTATATTTGTTTTAGATTTTTTTTAATATACAAATTATTTTTTTACAGTGTAACTTTTTTTTCCCTCTTTTTTCGCAATTGCAACCTGTTACTTTTTAATAAAAATTTATATTTGTTTTAGATATTTTTTTAATATACAAATTATTTGTTTTAGATTTTTTTTAAATAATTTAATACTCTCATCACTAACCATAGTATATGAGAGAAGTTCAAAATGGTACGGTAGTAGGTATGAGAGATGTTAAGAAGGCTTGTGGGTTGGGACAAGTCAATAAATGCTGAATTTTTTTTTTAAATCAAAAAATTAAAAAATTAAGATTGAGATATTGAAATTTCCACAAGGCTTGTGAGTTAGAAACCCCTTTTTTTCCTTATATAATATACTAGTGTTTCACTCGTGCTAAGCACGGGTTGTGTTTATAATTATTTGTATATATATGAATTGTTATTTTTAAATGTCTTCTTTTTTTGCACACATAAAAAAAAAATATAACAAATGCAGTATATCTTTAATCAATTATTTTATGTTTGCTTTTATTCAAAATTTAAAAATAACGTACGGGCAAAATTTATAACTAAATTAAGGAAAAATTTATTCCTAATGACATTTTTTTACTTCTATATAAATACTTAAAAAAATAAATTTGAAAAAGGTAATCAATATAATATTATACATTAAGTGAAAAAATGTGATTAGCAATTATACTTACATAAATTTACTACAGTTTTAATTTCAAATTTAAAAAAAAAAAATTTAAAAGCATTTTATTTATAGTAGCAAATAGAATTTTCTTAGCAAAAAGAAAAGTTTTAAAATTTTGTTACAAATTTTCAAATGTCTATTGTTAAATATTCTATTCTATTTGCTTGTTTGTTTGCTTGCTTGTTTTGGGAGTTTTGATCTTTGATTTTTGCTCCACATTCATCGTATTATTTTATTTATTTTTCTTCTTCTTACTTGATTGCCGCATAATACTTCCTTCATAGTGCATTTCCGAGTGTATTAGTGAAAACATCATACACTTAAAATATACAAAATTACAATATATAGAGAAAAAAAAAGAGTCCAAAACTAAAACCACTTTAAGAAAAAATAAAAAATAAAAACAAAAATGAAATTATTTGAAATATAAAATGATTTACTTATTTATTTATTAGTTTTTAAAAATAAAATTTTAAAGAAAACAAAGAAAACTGTATAAAAAAAAGTACAAAAACTAAATATAAAATATAATATAAAAAATAAATGAATTATAGGATTTTCAAGAAGTGAGACTCACAAATAAATTTTGTGTTTTTTTGTAATTCTAATCTCGAGAATAACATTAAAATAGTCTACACTTCTTACATTAGGTCCATCTAATAGCTTTAGTAAATAAAAATGTAATAAATTTCATAACACAAAACATAAACAATTGTGAGAC